AGTGGTGAATATTGGAAGTTTAATATAATACAAGAATGTGAATAGCTACGTCTGAAATGAATGAAAATACTTGTTTTAATTGTTATTGAGTCAGATATGTGGCAGGTAGTGTTTGATTTATCTAAAAGTTTTTATAAATGGGTTTGGCTGTAATTTAAGGACAAATTCTAAAATATCTTCAGTGTGGGGACTAGAAATCTGATATGATTTCTATTTTTGAATTGCTATTTTGCACTCTTTGTTTAACTAAGTATTATTTGTTAAATATAAGAGATTTTGCAGATATATTTTTTATACAATAGAATAGAATAGAAAATCCCTATATTGTTCCACAATGGGGAAATTCTGGTGTTGTCAAGCAGAAAAAAAGATTATAGAAAAAATGGTCACACAAATGTAGACCTTAGAAAATATATAAGAGTAATACTATAGTGAAGAGTTAAAAGATAAACAATAAAATACGGTACTGTAAAGTTTTATAACAATATAAAAAACTGTGCACCTGGAGATTAAATAACCAATATACAGCTATGGACATTTTTAAAGTAACGGAGATTTGAAAATAGCAGCAACATCAGAGATGTGCAAAATGACCGCATAAAATTTTTTAACTGACTAAGGTTTATTTTTATTTGTTCAAGCTCCCGGTGGTTGTCACATATATTCCACTCTGGTATTCTCATTAGTGTAGTTTTTGTTCACTTTACAATATCAAAACAATAAAAAAAATTAAAAAGAAACAGTTTTGAAAAGTTTGGTATTTATTCTTTTCCTGCTTTGTGTATCAACTGTCATGGTTGCAAAGCGACAGAGCGTACGGTGGTGAAAGCTTCGAAGGGCCCACTAGACCCAGGTAGACCGGGCGCTTGGAAGACGAAGCCCATGAATTCGAACGCGCCTGTCGTTTGACTGTGGGCTTGAGTATTGATTTTGTTACAGTATAGCCCTATGCTCTGCATTAAACCATAATACTGCAACATGATTGGCTGATTCATTTTGGCTCGGTTTCGAGTCAGTCTCGGCTGAATCAGGAGGGGAACAAGATGGCTTTCCATGTGCTTTCAAATTTGTGGAAACCTTAATTTTATTTTTAAAATAATTCAACCCTCTGTGTGATTGACAAAAAATAATGTAGAGCATAAATGCAAACAGTTGAGCCAACCATCGAATGCAGTTTATGCTGTTTTTTGGGGTATGCTTTTTGCACAGCTTGTGCTTGCAATAAAATTACATTTCCAATATATTGTGCAGCCTTAATGCAGACACACAAAGACACACTCTCGTCTTGCTATATGAAGTGTGGACCATGTGCTGACAATCTGTACTACTGCTTAACCCTAAAAATAAAACTAACCCTCACCAGTACATACCTCACCCTAAGCTTAACCCACCTTAGCCCTAAACCGAACTGTTAGCAAAATAGCTTGTGAGAACCGGCCAAAATGTCCTCACTTTGTACAACTGTTCTCACGTCTAAGGTTAAAAACTTACCCTAAACCTTATCCTAAACCTAACCACTATGGTTTCATACCTAACCCTAATCCTAACCTGAACTCTATTCACACCTTAGTCCTAAACCTGCCACCTTACCTTAAAACAGCATTTGTACTCATGGGGAATAGACATTGGTCCCCACTAGATCAGTCCCCACAATGTTGGAAAAACACGCACACACATACACACACTTGTTATGTGTGTATATGTACACAGTGGGGCAATAATTAGAGCAAGAGTTAAAATTGAATGGTTTTAATTAGTCAAAGCCTAGATTAAAACCCTACGGAGATTCATAAGTAATACGTGAAATAGGATTTTTAACGTTTTCAATTTCGTTTTTTCGCAAGAAAAAAACAAGAATTAGTCTCTAAACTTTACAATGCTGGTTGAAACCACAAGATGACTCAGCATGGATTAGTGAACTCAAAACCCTCCCTTTAATTACTTTACCTCTTGACTGACTTCTCAGCTTGTTAATTAGATGTCTGTTGTTGTTCTTCATGCTCTGCTGCTTCACAGAATGGAGTTAAAACAGAGGACAGGAGGAGCTACAACATCTGTGACCTGATTCGTTCTCCAAACATCCGCTGGATCTCGATCACGCTGTGGGTGATCTGGTGAGTCCCAGTGGGCCTCCACATTCCACCAAGCAACTACAGTTACAAATACACAGGGACAAATTTTTTCACATACAGCACTGTGCTTTGCTGTGTCACCTTTTGTCCATGTGTCATCTAAATTACACTTCATAACATTTCTATAAACATCAAAGATATGTTAAATGGTGTCCAGCAACCGCTCTCATCAAACCAGCTTTATCCTATTGCACAGCATGGATACTCTTTGCGTGTCGAGTGGAGAAAACAGCTGCAGTTTGATATTTGTGAAACATTACAAGCGAATACCATGTTAGACATACCAAGCGTAATGCTGCATTTTTTAACTACATAATTTTCATTTGAAAAAAAGTCTCAATTTGTCTTTCATTCTGACAGTTTAAGGAGAATCTAAAAGTGATTAGCAATAGCAATATATCAGACACTCCAAAACTAAAAACTAAAAAAATAATAAAAACAAACAAAAAAAATGTTATACATAGAAAACATTTAAGAACACTTCAGTTTTTTTAAGCCACTTCAGGTATACTGTAAGAAATAATCTCAACTTTAAATAGTGGAAGGTTTTCTGATGTAGAAAAAAAAGCTTCTCAGAGCCATTGGAACCGTTAAAATAACTGTAAGTTATAACCTGTAAAGTTAAAATAAATAAAAGGTGTTTATTCATGCTTCCCTTTCATGCTCACAGGAACACCCTCGTCATCGGCTACTTTGCTCTTTCCCTGAACACGTCGAACCTCCACGGGAATGTCTACTTCAACTGCTTCCTGTCGGCCCTTGTGGAGATACCAGCCTATGTTCTGTCCTGGGCTATGTTTCACTGGTGTTCTAGACGAATGAGTGTCTTCGCTTCACTCTCTTCAGGGGGATTATTTCTACTCATCATACAGCTCGTACCTGCACGTATGAAACCACTGTCTGCTGAGTTTAATTAGAGATTTTGTCTGATTAATGCTGTTCAAATTAATGTTTTTATTCACTTTAGATTTGGTGTTTCTCTCCATTACATTTGAGATGATGGGGAAGTTTGCTGTAACAACTGCCTTCTCTGTTGCCTACGCCTACACCGCAGAGCTGTACCCAACTGTGCTGAGGAATACAGCTTTTGGCGCCTGCTCCATGGCCTCTAGAATTGGAAGCATTATAGCTCCATTTTTTATTTATTTAAGTAAGTCTTTCATCCTCTGACACATTTAACACAACTCCTCAAGTGGAAAAGTTTTAGTTTCAGCCGCTTTATTTTCGCAAAAAACATTTGACACAATTAATTGGTTTAGCTCATTCAGAAAAGTAGGGGAGCAAAAATAATACATTCCCAAACTCCCTGTCATAGACCTGCATCAAGAAGGTCTTAGAATCGAGTCCTACACTGTTGCTCTTAGTGTGCACCCATGGTTGGTTTCCCTTTACTTGACTGTTAAACTATCCAGGGTGCACATATAAATCATTACAATCTATGCACCAATCTGGATTTCAATTTTTTTTCATTTCATTGTTTATTATTACTTATGTCAATTTCTGTTTTTTTTTACTGGCAGCTGATTTTTCGCTGTCTATAATCACAGGGGTTGTTAACTTTCAAGCACAACTTTGAGTGAGCAGTACCTCAAATAATAATGTTAAATATAGCAACTGTGTCATACTAGTTTTCCACTGTCCCGTTGAACCTTAACAGTGCAAGATATAAAAAGAGCTCTTTGAAATGCAAATTTGTAATCTGGAATCCTATGTTGGAAAACTGAACAGTGGTTGTTGCTCTGTTGTTTTACAGGATAATGATCCAAAGCATTTTCTCAAATCATCCAAACTTATATCCGAACTGATTTGTATCTCAACTGCTGCTCTGATTTCTACACGAATCTTGTGAAATCTTAGAAGACTATACTGTCCTATTGGGGAAATGAGGTTGCAAAAGTATCATTAAGAGTGTTGCAAATAAGTGTTACTTCAGCAGCCAAATTAACTTGACCACATCGAAATTATAAATTAATTTTTGGTTTGTTTCTAAATAAGCCCCACCAGAGGTAGGCTGCATATTTAAAGAGTGGAAGCAGAACATTTCTGGGTTTGAAGACTCAGCTTGTGGTGTTTCTGAAAGGCATTTGCATGTTCTTTCTGTGTTTGTCTGGCCTCTCTCCCATTGTGCCTGCTTGTTAAGGCCAATTGGTCTCTCTAAAATACTTTAGGAGTGATCCTGTGAGCAGGATTGTTTTTCCTGTTAGTCTCTTTGTGGCTCTGTTATGTACCGGTTAACTGTGCACGGTGTCACCCTTAGCTTACCTTGCATGGATAAGTGGATATAGACAATAATAGGTATATTATGGAGTTCATATATGAAAGCTCTGAATACTTTTGCTATTTTAATCATTATTTGTGTAACACAACCTTCTGCTCTTAAAAATCTCCAGTCTTACTTGTTTCAGTCTTCTTGCCTCTGTGATCCGGGAGGAAAGCACACATAACAACTTAGAATAGCCCCTACAAGAAATACACTGAACAACCAGCCACTTTGGGACAAAAATCCTTTGTAATCCACTAAATGGTGTAATCCACTTAAGTCTTTGAATATTTATTTATCTTTTTGTTTCGAGTAGCTGTACGGTCCATTGAATGTAGACAAGCTTGTTTTTCACCATCGTTATTTTTCCTTTAATGTTACAAAACAGGAACCTATTACATCTACCTGCCTTACATCCTAATGGGAAGCCTCACAACTGTGGCAGGGTTGCTGAGTCTCCTGCTGCCAGAGAGCTTTGGAATGCCACTGCCGGAAACTATTAGTCACATGCAACAATTCCCTGGGTAAGACTAAAACTCCTACACCTGCATCTAATAGAAAACCATTATCTGCTTTGTATTTCTACCACCATTTTGCTATTCTGTTTTTTTTAAAGACTGTAAAGTTCACCTGCACTCCTGACTGTTACTGTTGTAACAACTCTTTATATGCATCTTGCACTACTAACTTTGACTGATTATTGATTTGCACTGCCGACTGCTTATATTTGCACTGCCGACTGTTTATTCACAGCACCAATTGTTTACATTTACATCTGCAATAACGTACTTTAACTGTAATATGCAATTACCTTCCACTGCACTTTAATTTAGATAGCTTCTGGCCAAACTTTATTTATTTATTTTATAGTAAAACCAATCTGTATATTATGCTATTGTACATAACTGTAAAAACCTTTTTTTAATAGTAATATCCATCTGTATATTATATTCGGTACATATCCAGCTGTAAATTTGGTTCATAACACTAGTGATCTATATATTATATTCATTATTTATAATAGTATTCATGTCTATACTCATTCAGTAGAAATGCCCATGTCCTGTATTTATGGAACCATTATTTATCCTGCACCTGCTGCTATTGCATTTCTGGTTAGACCTAAACTGCATTTCGTTGCCTTGTACCTGTACATGTGTAATGACAATAAAGTTGAATCTAATCTAATCTAAAATGTATCAAATGTTTTAGAAGCCTCATTTTTGAATCAGATTAAAGAAGCTAAAACAGTTTGCCCTATATTTTTGCGAAAGAAAAAGATTAAAATGATTAAATTCAGTTTTTACAGTAAATGCAAAGCCAATGCACTGTTTTTCTCATCTTTATTCAATGTATCATCTTTTTAATTGTAAACCATAACACTGAGTTTGAGCATGAAGAACTATTTACCTTTTGCTAACTGAGATTGCTAAGATTTTTTGTCCACATAAACAATTAATTTATAGACTGAATGTGCACTCAGAAAAGAAGAAGCTACTTCTTGAAAAAAATAAATTAATTCAGATTACAGGAGGGGTGTTCCGATTAAACTCTTTTCTTTCCGATGCGATACCGATATTGCAGTTTTGAGTATTGACCAATGCCAATATTGACCCAATACGATATCAGCATGAATCATACATGTTTATTTTTCTCATTCAATAGTGTGGAATAATAGAAAATGCTAGATCACATGATATTACTTAAACAGAGAAGAATAGTTAACATCATTTAACAGAACTGACCCATTTATTATTCTCCAAAGAGTTACATAAACCTTAAATAAAAGCAGGTAGGCGTCAAGTATTTCTATAAGCTTTCTAATAATCGAGATTTTAGAGGCAGACTAATCTATTCTGATTTTCATTTTTTGGCTGATATCAGACCGATTTCAGATATCAACAACAGATCAATGCATCCCTTGTTTAAGTACAAGGAGACTAATTCCAATGAAGAAAATATTGAGGTGTTTATAATATAAGATATAATAAGGTTTAACAAGAATCACTACTTTTAGGGAGTAAAAATAATTAGAAGTTTTAAAGCTTGAAAGCACCCACCCAGCAGTAAAGTACATTATTTGGGTGTTTTGTTGCAGTAGTGACTGTTGCACTTTACTGTACATAATATATGGCCTCATATGGAAAGAAGTACAGATGGGGCTTCCAGAATGACCAGTGTCCCTAATCATAATTGACAAATATGAATTAAAGCACAAGGTGGATAAAGGGCAATAAGTCAGTGTTTCCAGGAGTCCACCCCATTGACAATATTTAGGCATAATTGAGGAGGTGTGTGTAAGCAAAGTTACCTTCAAAATTCTTTATAATTTGAGAAATGTGTGGAGACAAATTTAAATTGTTTTAATCATGTGATGCAGTTTATGTCCATTCTACTAGATACTAAAGACATGGAGAAATTTAGCTTTTTTCGCTGTTTGATAACTTTGCATTCATTTATTTCTCCAGGTGTTGTCAGAAGACACCTTACATCCTAACACATACTAAGGAGGAGGGAAAAGCTGTTGAAGTGAGGTCTCTAGTCAGACGGAGCAAATCTGACTTCAAACAAATGAGCGGTGATGAAGCTCATGTATGAGATAATCCCTCTTTGATTTGAAAAATCATACAGGGGTCATACATCCACTGTATGAGTACAAGGGCTTTCTCTTTTCTCCACATACTTTTTCTCCATTAATGTAACGCTGCCATAGTTGATTGCACTGATAGACTCACAATGGTACGGGAACATAAACAAAGGTTAGCATGGAAAGTTTTTCAACTTACCTTAAATTTTTGTTATATAAACCTGTACAACTGTCACACATTTCTTGTCAATATTTTTCTACATTGTTTCTGATTGAATATAGAGTGGGCTAAATAAACCTTTACTTTTTAACACTTCTATTGTAGAAAACGCATTTGTAAAATTGTAATAAAATCTTCTTGTATTCACTTTTAAGGGTTACCATCCCAAACCATGATTAGAAAAAAACAGTCCCAATTTGAGTCAAGTTTACACTTTTTTGTAGTGGTAGGTGTGCTGCATACTGCCCAACCAGGAGGACTATTCTGATAAGGGTCTTTCATAGAATTTATGTTTAGTTCTCAACTTGACCACCTTATGTCCCCCCCCCCCTTTTGGGGATTTTGCATGATTGCATCATATCTTAATGGGAGACGGGATAATTCTCATTATTTTCAATCTCAGTTTGATACCATTCCTTTGTACTCATCTTTTACATTTTATTTTATGTATTGTAGGGATTGTACGAGTAATATAAATTACTATTGTTACACATATAATGAGAAAAAAGCTTTTATTGTAAAATTAATTAATTTCAAACTGATTTTTTTTCGCTAAGCAAAAAAATATTTGAGCAAAGAAACAAAGAAAAAAGATAGATAATTAGCTGGGTACCTTTCTTGTATCAGCTGATGAGAAATATTGCAAAGTAACCACATTACGGTGGAACTGTTATCTGTTTTCTTATATGCATTTGCATCTTCTTGGAACTATTTACAACAAAGGTTATTAGTTAATCTCAAAAGGGTATATCCAAAACTGCATACAACTGTATTTGTGTGTCAAGCTAGAAATTCATTCATCTTTTCCACAAAATTATCTTTAACTTTAACAATTTTGGTGCAAAAAAACATAGTATTAACTTGCTTGATAGTCATACCTGTTATTATATTTTCTTCATTGAACCTTTCCAACAAAACTTATTGGGAGTTGTTCTATTGTTGTTGAATGCAAGCCAGCTCCCTCTTCTAGATCCCTTCATCAGTGGCTTGAACCTCGTTCAACTCTACAGTTAGCTAGTTTCTGTTTACATGCAGAGCCCTGAAGAGAAGTACTTTCAGGAGTATAGTTGAAGTATTTTTAAATGTTAAACACAGAAAGACAATACATTTGGATTAAAATACAAACCAACAGAAACAAACAAAAAAAAACAAAAAAAATCTATATTTAACGGAAGGGTTTTGTTTTTTTTAATGAATACTGATGAAAAAACTATGGTCTATCACACATACTTACATTTTCCAAAAACATTTAAAAGCCTCGTTGTTCAAAACATACTTGATGGCAACATCATCGTGTTGCCTGTATTTTAGCTCCATTTAGTCACTATGAGAATAAAAAGGACTAAATCGTTTAAAACCATCATTTTCTTTAAAGCCCATTATTATAAATAATAGAGACGTTTTATATAAATCACCATCAGGGGGCGATATAGGGAAACGAATGCATGTGTAAGGAGTTATGAAAAGCAGAGTAGTGTCAGCTGCACTATCTGGGGTAAAGCTTAACTGTCTTGTCAAACAAGTACAGGAAATGTACAGCGAATGTTAAGTTCTCAAAGAATGGGATTTTAGAACAGTTGTAATATTACAATATTATTTAGGAAGTTATTAAAATGAAATTAGTTAAATAAATGCTGTTTTTTATTGCATTGTAATAGGCCTACATGTAGAGTGTGATCCACTGAGGGACAAATCTTAAACTGTAACATACTGTAGGTTGTTGTCTTAATTATTAAAAATTATGACGTATTATTAAAGCTAAACTGGACCTCAGCCTTTACATTTGACATAAACCTCATCTAGAACTGAAGAACACTAAAACTATAAGATATTACTGGTAAGGTGGCAACTATCTGCTTGTCTTGCACTTGCACTCCAGCAACAGTTAGAATGGAAGAAAGAGTGACCTCAAGAAGAAAAGTTTGATATTTTGGTAACTCATTAAGGACAATGGGACAAGGGAGAAAGTAAATCACTGAACAAGTTGTTTTTTTGTGTGTTTTTCTTACATGTTATGTTTGTACAGAATTATCCACTTAAATGTGATGTTTTAAATTGAGGTCATGGTGTGTTTTGTCTGTAAGGAAAAAAAAAAAAAAACATCAAAAAAGTTTTCTATGACAATGTTAAAGAAAGTCTCTTCTTGTTTCAAAGGACTTTGAAAAATGTCTCTAAACTTCACCAGGGAATACTAAAAACAGGTATAATCATTTGCCATTTTCAGCCAGCTTTGTAACCCAAACATAAAAAAAAAAATCCCCACAAACAGGCTGTAAGTAGAGACAACTCATCCTAGATTTATCACACAACTGCATCTTGTGTTCATGGACACATCATGTATTTTTTTTTACACAGAACTGCTTCTTGATTTCTGTTTATACTCCGGTTTGCACATGGATTTTATTTCTCAATGTTAATAAGCAATGAACCGTTTAATAAAATCTGATTTCTATCTAACATACTTGCAGCTGGATATTCTCATTTCTATCAGTAAAGGTGTCCTCAGTCTGGCTTTTTTTTTTTTTTTTTGCATTTCTGATCAGCTTAGGTTTAAAGAAAAGATTACATCACATCTATTTTTACATTCCAAGAATTTCTGGAGCAATTTCTGAAGAATTTCTTTCTTTCCTTTAAGTACAAGTGCACTTGCAAAACTTGTTTATTAAGTCATTCATCAAGAACTGGTGCAGTTTTGTCTGAACTACTTGTTTACACCGGTTTGAAGTAGTGCAGGAATAAATAAAGACATAAAAATAGGGAAAAGAAAAGGCAGGTAAAATGTAAGTCAGGCTAAATGACTACTTTAGCTAATGTTATGATTCTCAGAGGAAGCTACATGAGAGGATTTATGGGTAGTATGTCATTACTATACTCTGGAATTCTTAGAAAGAGCAATTACTGGGTTTTTTTTTGTTTCCCAGAACTGCTTTAACATAATATTTATTTGCTTGAGATATACATTAGGGATGAGCTGTTTGATGAAATTCAAATCTAACTACTCCAAGCCATGGGGTTATTTACCCTGTAAACAATAGCTTTAATCATCTTTTGTCAAGAAAGCACAAAAAGGATTTCAGCTTCACCTCTGCATTAGGTAAAGTGCTAGTACACTGAAAAAACTTACTTTAACACAATTGTTTTATATCCTACCCTGCTAACATGAAACAATTGTGTTAAAGTAACTAAATATGATTAAGTAAATGCCAAAAGTGGTTGCATTATTGTTTTCAGTGTAGCAGCCTTAGCACACATTTGAGCTTTTTATTTTTTTTAAGATTACTTCTGTTCACAAAAAACAACATGGATTTTGCAAAGTCCCCAGAGAATGAGGTCATATGTCATGGATGAAAATTAGACTGCTTATAGGCACTGGTGCCTGTTGCATGAGGCATGACACCCTCAGAAAACAGGCGTATTATTTATCAGAAAAACTGACCCTGTTTGACTGATACCTGAACATGGTCTGCATTAGAACCTAATTAAGTTCCCCGAACTACAAAGCAAATTGAAAAGTGTTAAATAATGTGGTGTTAGTAGACTTTGTACAAAGGCAGTGTCAATTTAGCTCTTTATAGAATTATATTATACAAATCTAACTCTGTGGTGTCACGTCAAAAAATAGTGTTACATAATAAATCTGGAGGTGTTGAAATGGAAAAAATAACTCTTTGTCTATCAACTCTGAACACCTAGTGGATTTGACACCAAAAGAGTGCATTCACAGACTCTGCCTCCAATGCTACAGGTACCAAACAAAGCTGAGGAAAACTTTGCTCTCCATTTTGCTCTCATACAGACCTCTTTAACCCAGCCTGGTAAATCATTTCTCTCAGATGGTTTACATTTTTTATTTGCTTTTTAATTCTATGGCGTTTATCAGACATCCCAAGTTCCAAAAACTCATTTCAGAGAGGTGCTTATCCCCCAACCCCCCGCCCCCCCGGGGACAACAGATCCGCACCGTGCCCCATACATACACACTTAAGGCCAGCAACTTTTTAACAACTGTTTATATACTAACAGTAATTTCTTAAACACAAAACAGAACACTATTGGTCTTTTATTTTCAATTTTCAATACTTTCAATCTTGTAGCCTTGAACATCGGTTGTACTTTCTGTCTTTCATGGGACTTCAGCATACAGTGCACCTCACCACGATGTCATCATTCCTCACCATGGCCGGTTCTAGACAGGGCCTAATGGGGGCCAGTGCCCCTGTAGATCATGTTCTGGCCCTGTTATGGCCCCTGTACTGAAGACATGTTACTTAAAAGAAATTATAATGATGATATGCGCTGGAACAGACATGGATACTAATGGGTCCTTTGGCTCTATTTCATTTTTTCTTTAAAAATTCTGTTTTACTAATTATTCAAAAACAATAAAGTGATAGCTTCAGTGGGATTAAGATAGGATCACAGCTTTCATCTGTTAAATGTTTTTTTTCACAACAAATAAAACAAAAATGTTCTAATTTTTACAGATGAATTTAACAGCTTTTTTCTTGAGTTCTAATTCAAATTTTATAGAAAACAGTAGTTTCAACTTAAATTAAGTTGAAAATAATTCCTAAATTCCTAAAATAATTCCTAAATTATAAATGTATATTGACCTTATAAGAAATAGAATTTCTATTGAACCTAAATGAAAATAAATTTCACTTTATGCAGCTCTTTTAATATATGAATCCCTTGCGCTGTTTTTTATCTCACGCTTTTCTGTGCCCCCATGAAAATATGCCGCCCCTCCTGGTAAATTTGGTCTAAATCCGCCACTGTTCCTCACCTTCACTAGATGTGGATATAATTTAGTATATTCTGCTGTAAAATTAGCTATTATATTTATATTTTCGTTTTTTTACTCGAGGATTCAACCTCTGCCGTTTTTCTCAGCTTTGAGTTAACTATAGTGTTGAAAAAAGGGTTTGTAGACAAATATTTTATGTATTTTTTGGCTAAATTCATCAACATCGATACACCTAAAAAAATGATTTGGGAAATGTTATTGTGAACACATGGAGCATCATGAATCCCCAGCTATCAGAAGACTGTCTCCTACACTGTATAAAAATCGATGCAGCAAACGGCGATTTAATTGTAGAAATGAACCTACTCTGCAGTGCATGAAAATATTTTTGGGTTTAAATTTAGTGCTCTTCAGAATTTTGTTGCAAAGCAAAGTATTGAGGTTGAAATTGGCAAAGGTTCCACATTGTTACATGTTTTGAAAAAAATATTTCCCAATTGTGATACTTTTGAAATAAATATTTGCTGAAAAAACATTGCTTATTTATTTATTTTTCCAAAGGGATTTTTATATGTTCAGAAAAGTAAATTTTTTTATATTTATAGAATAACTCCTATGTAGTTAGGAAAACTTTCCACGAGAGTGTCAATATTCCATTTCTAACACCTAGTTGGTGTAATTAAATGTTAAATTATCAACTCCAAAAAGATTTATTATTTAACACTAAATAAGAGTTACAATGCCAACTCTCCAAAAAGAGTCAAATTAACATTTGCTGGTCTGGATCCATATAAACACTTCAAGGGTGTTAAAATCAAATCTGACAGTGTTGATCTGAGCATGTTGGATTTGCTGTGTTGAAAAAAATCATTAATCAATAATATTAGTAAGAAGGAAAAAGAAATAAAGAAATCTGATCTAAATGTTATCTAAGGCAGAAGTCTAGGGAAAAATAACAAAAATCCTATCAGACCAGTTGGATTGGATAAGTTAGGGACTAAAGTTGGAAATAAACCACACCTTCTGATATCCTGTGCTCATTATCAACTTCACCATGCCCGCCGTAGCATCTGATGCCAGCAGAATTGTTGATTATGAGTCTGCAACCTCATTTCTGGGAGAATGGGGACCTTTCCAGCAGCGGGTGTTTTTCCTGCTCTGCCTGAGCTTCATCCCTAACGGACTCACGGCGCTGTCCATGGTGTTTCTGGGGGGCACGCCGGCGCACCGCTGCATGCTGCCAGCGCACCTGAACCTCAGCGCTGCGTGGAGAAACAGCAGCATCCCGCTGGAGGAGGATGCGAGCCGCGGCGGGGATCTGGTGCCCAGCAAATGCTTCAGATACAAACTGGAGCATTTGATGAATTATTCGGAAACAGGTTTGCTACCTGGAGTGGACGTGAACCTTTCTAATGTGCCGAAAGAAGGCTGCTTGGACGGATGGGAGTTTGACCACAGCTTGTATACATCTACTATTGTGACTAAGGTGCGTGGATTATTGAGCTCTCTTGTGTTTTCCTTCCAGACTTTTAACAAAAAAAGAATTCGATAATTACATTAAAACTAAAATATAGAATTCATTTTTGTATGTTTTATAGTAATTTGTTATTATTATTTTTTTGGTAGAAAGCTAGATAAATGGTCAGTAATCCAAAATAAATTAGATCTGCTTAATCCCTTACTCATTAAAGAATTTACGTAAGGCAAATTCACTAACCAGTCATGCTGTGTGATTCAGGAGTCTTTTCACCTGACCTTTAAAAGATTCGCATGTAGGATTAGAACATTTGCAAACTTGTTTGCTTAGGTAGAGCAGATCTTGCGGTTGCAAATTAGAAGACATTTTTCCCCAACTTTTCTTGTGTGTTAATTAAATTGCAGATCGTCCCAAATTGCCAAAATCCTTGTGATCGCAGGGGGAAAAGTGCTAACATCCATAGTTTGCACTTTTTAAGACAATTATGACAGGTGATGGGGAGAGATTATCTGAAATTGTGAAGATATATGGGAGAAAATTATGTCGCAGAGCTGTTTGTGGGGTGGTGATGGACGTTTTCTAGTGGCTGTTAATAACCCGTGTTTTTTTTTTTTTTTTTTTTTTTTTTTATAAACATGCTGCAGAATTTAAGTCCAGGTATTGTTATTATTGCTTTTTTTTTATCCACACATGTAATTGCTAAGCACTCTTGTAGTTTGTGGTGCTTTACCAAGAGATATTATTCTACTATTGTTATTTCTTACACTCCAAATATGTTCACATGTGCACACACTTTCTCTCAGTCCAATGAATTACTTAGAATAATTGCTGTATTTATTATGCATTACATAATTTTTTTTTAAGGAGCAACTTAACTTGTGCAGATGTTGCAACACCAGGGGTATTGCCATTAGGTTTGTTGAGGACTGTTTAATGTCACTAAAAGCTGGGTTAAAGCATGGTCGTAGGTTTGCATATATAGGGACCATAGGGATATGTCCCTACCAAAATTTTGGACCAATCTACTTGTCCCTACCAACAATTACATGTGAATAACATGTTTATAATTTACAATACAGCATTGTTGCAGCAGTAGAGGAGTTCTGGAAGGAGAATATCGACAGACGAAAACATATCTTGTCTAAAATGCAAAGTTTTTCATTTTTTTTACAATGTTGGTATAATTCCTGCTCTAAGTGGGTCGCGCCGTGAGCTAAAGATATTTTTAGCTCTATCTATCTATACTCCAGTTAACATTTAATTGATTACTGAATTTGTTGACATTATTTCAATAATTGATTAATCCAATGAATTGTTTCAGCCCTAAATAAAATACATGAAATGGGTTAAACACAGTAACTACATCTTAGATGTACAACATGTAAGGTGAGGTTATAATATAATATATAATAATAATATATACTGTATTAAATGCTCAGTGCTCAGTGTCAGTTCCTCTTCTATTTTGACAATAATATCCCATTTTCAAAGGGTGTGACTAGCATCCACGTTTAAGTACTTACATGTAAAACATGTAAGTAGCCTACTTAAACGTGGATATTCTAACTTACTTTGGAAGAGATACAAAAAGAGGCTCCAAAAGAAGCCAAAAACATAGAGCAAAACAAAGAACACAGGGGAGGGCTTCGGTATCCTCCTCTTCCCACAGCAACTCAGAGTAAACTGTTAAAAGTTAAGGGTAAACCAAAAAAGTCAAAAAACAATCCACTGGACTTTGTTTCCAGATCAGCTTTGTGCGTGCAAACTATTTTGACACCGTTTAGTATGCAAATTTTCTTGAAGATCAGGCCCTGTGAGTTGTAAAACAAATTAGACAAAGGTTACAACCAGGCCTGCTGACAGGCTTGATTTGGCCCGGGACAAAATCTAAAGAACTGACTAGAGTAACATATTTAATAGTTAACTAAATATTTAAAAACATTTAATTATTTATTAAGGGAAAAAACATGTTTATTTATTTACAGTATTTAACACATCTCAAGTAACATTTCAATGTTTACATTTACATGTAGTGTCCTACGGCTCAGGAACAGAGGACTCAAATGCAAGTCCTGACACAGTGGAGCAAAGTTCAATATTTATTTAATACACTGTGGTCAAACATCAAAAATCCGAAGTAACTAGAAGTAGCAAAAACAGAGGCAGGGAAAGGTCCACAAACAAAATTGCAAAAAAGCTCATTTCAAATCCAAAAGGCTGGAAAGCTTGACTCAAAGGACAAAAATGAACTGGCAAATGGAAGCTGCATGACTGAAAAACAAATAGGGCAACAAACAAAGGAGAATCACAAACTCCAGGTAATTCACATTAAGGTGTGGTAGATCCCGATTGTAGGGAGGAACTCAGGAAGTGAAGTGGCTTAAAATTAGATAGAACATGAATACAAAATAAAACAGGAAGTGAAAACAACTGGTGACACATGTAAACTTAACTAGTCAGGACTGTCCCTGACATTACCCCTCTCACAAAGTCTGGCTCCAGACGGACCAAGAGTGTCTGGTTGCCGGTCAAAAAAGTCCTGAACGAGAGATGGGTCTAGAATGTTACTGGCTAATATGTTCTGTCCTCCGGACCATATCCCTCCCAGTCGACAAGGAACTGACGTCCACGGTCCTGATGGATAACAGCCAGAAGTTTTTTTAACCAAGTACACGGGTTCACCATCAACAATCCGGGGGGCAGGGGGAGCCTTAGTGGCAGGGACCAACTTGCTCTGTTTGGCCGGTTTAATGTGGCTGACATGAAACATGGGATGACATCTCATAGTCCTGGGGAGCTTGAGTCTTACAGCTACAGGGTTAATAACCTTAGGCACAGGAAATGGTCCAATAAATCTTGGAGATAGCTTATGTCAGTCTGTACGAAGGGCAAGATTCTGAGTGAACTACCAGACTCTTTGGCCTACCCGGTAGACAGGTGTGCAGACCAGTTTCTAATTCCTGGTTTAGTCATTCAGATTGCCCATTGGTTTGAGGATGGTAACCTGACAAGAGGGCCTCTTTAAGACACTATGTTAGCAGGAAAACCATAAATCTTGAACACATTAGACATCAAAACCTGAATAGTCTCCTTTGCTGCAGGCAACTTAACAAGAGGAATGAAGTGAGTCATTTTAGAAAATCTGTCATCCACAGTGAGAATGGTGGTGTTACCTTCTAAAACGGTTTCCTGGAAGGCATTATCCAGTAGACCACAGAAACTTAGAAGTAGGATAAGTTAAGGAATGCAGAGGTGCTGCAATAGTGCTGAAACCCCTTATGAACTTCCTATAGAAATTTGCCAACCCCAGTAACCTTTGTACCTCCTTTCTTGAAGCTGGGATTGGGCAATCGGCCTCCACCTTGGCCGATTCTATCTGCATCTCCTCCTGACCCACGATTAAGCCAAGGAAAGACACCTTGGGAACATGGAAGTGACACTTCTCTTCTTTCACATAGAGTTTGTGTTGAAGAAGATGCTGTGGAACCTTGCATAGTGTGGGACTGCTCATCAGAGTACACAAAAACAAATGTGTTGAGCATTTCTTGGAGCACATCATTTATTAGAGCCTGAAAAATAGCTGGGGCATTAGTGAGTCCAAAAGGCATAACAAGATACTCATAATGTCCTCTAGGGGTATTAAAGCAGTCTTCCACTCATCTCCCTCTCTAATTCTAACCAGATGATAAGCAATCTTAAGTCGAACTTCGTAAAAAACTTTGCACCTTGCAAAATTTCAAAAGCAGAAGAGATTAGAGGGAGTACAGGTACCCGTTCTTTTTGGTGAAGTCACCCAGCACCCGCTTGGGATGGAGATGGATAAATGATGCCAGACTGGAGAGCAGAGTCTATGTAATGTTACATGGCCTGCTGTGCTGTTCTGATAGGGACAATGAATGAAGATGTCCCTTGGGGGGTACGTTTCTCTGCAGTAAATTAATGGCACAGTCATATGGCTGACGAGGGGACCATGAATTAGTGAATGACTTGCTGAACACTTCTTTAAGATCATGGCAACAGGTGGGAACCTTGGATAGATCAGGACTACCAGAGTCCATATCCTTTAAGGCAGATGGGGCTAATAAAGTGGAAAAAACATTTTCAGAACCCAACTGGTTCTGGAGACATACACAGCTCCAAGACAAAATAGAACCTGTAGTCCAATCAATATTTGGATTATGCTTAACTAGCCAGGGATGACCTAAGATTACTGTATGCTCAGGGAAGTCTGCTAGAAGAAACTTAATCATCTCAGAATGATGGTCGGGGAATGTAATCTTGACAGGTTGAGTGTGATGAGAGACTGAGCACAAATGATGTTCATCCAGAGCCGTGGCCTGCAGAGGTTCCTCAAGGGGGATACGTTTCAGGGTTAATGTTCTGCAAAGCGAGCATCAATCAGGTTGGTATCAGCACAAGAGTCAATAAGAACATTCTTTTTAGAAGTGGAGAGTAAAATAGTGGGATGTGCATGCGTGGGACTAATAGGAAAGGGGGAACAACTCACCAAGGTTGTTTTCTTTTGAGGGATGCTTCTATTTGTTCGGCAGCTGGAGACTAGATGGCCTGACTGACCATAATACAGGCACAATCCCTCCCTAAAATGGCGCTGACGCTCCTCAGGAGGAAGATGGGCCCCTGAAATATAGAGATCTTTACAGATTTTCATTTATGAAATATGCAGATTTGGCTTACCTGCTCCAGTCACATTTGGGCCCTTTTATTTTACCTGTGTGATTTCTACCTGTGTTATATGTTTAGATTGCACCACAAAATGTTCTGGTCAAAATCTTTCTTCAAAACAAATTCAAAACATCTCAAACTCTTAACAATTCCCATTGGTGTGGTCTTAATCATAACTTCATCTAGCAAAGACAGGGAATAAAACCCTTGACAGAAACTGCTCCATCAGAGTGCTTACAAGTTACAGTATGACTGCCTTCTCAGGCTTTTGCAGGTGAGTGCGATCTAAAGTGAAGCTGTTCATTTGCCTTAGGCGGCTTCTTCAGGTGAGAGCAGCTATACCCTTCATTTTAAATTGACAGACTGCTGCCTGACTGTGTAAGAAGGGGAAGATTCAGGTTCTGTATTTTCCTGTCTCCACCTGCCTCGCAGCCAATATAGCAGCTTGACAAACTTCAGAGGAACTGCATCATCGGGCATAACCAGTTACAAGGAATGGCACATGGAGGTACTTTGCAGTCCTGCAGTGGATAATCGGAAGAAAGTAATAATGGGAAAAGATTTTATGAAATCTTAGAATATAGATCCAATTTCCTTGCAAACATCTTAGAAAAAATATATTTGTTGCAAAAGATGAAGGGGGCTGATTCAGGGCCCCCCTCTACCCTGGGCCCAGGACAACTGGCCCACATCTAACCATACGACCCCCCCACCCTGTCGGCGGGCGTGGTTGCAAGTATTGACACACCTGGAACATAATTTTTGTCATTTAGTGCTGTTGATTCAAAGAAAAAAATAAATTGACTTAAGGACTGACTTAGTGATGTCACTATTTTTTTTATTATGTCTTGACCTCCTACATGATTTTATTTATTTATTTGTTTGCTTTTCACAGTGGAACCTGGTGTGTGATGAAAGCTGGAAGAAGCCATTCAGTTCTTCTATGTATTTCGGTGGTATTCTTGCAGGCTCCTTCATTTCTGGACAACTCTCTGACAGGTTGAAAAATAAACATTTAGTTGGTAACAATAATGGACTGACTTTAACCGTGGCCTACTCTTAAAATTACATGATATATTTTGTTCACATCCAATTAATTCTTGACAACAACTTTAATTTTCATTCAAAGGAGTGTCTGGTTAGGGTTTATATACAGTATATGTAAAACTTCATGGAGTTTAAAAATATGAAAACCAATGTAATGATTACTTCTCTAGGCACATATTTAATTCAAAGATGATTGATTAGATATATTATCAAATTTATAATGGCATTTAATTATATCAATTCATATTGGGTTTAATCCTTAAGTTTCAAAATGTAAAATCAGAGGGTGGAGCTAGCACTAGTCTACTCAAAACAATTGGTCTTATTTGGATTCACTGATCAGGTAAACCAATAAAACTTTCAATTTAGTTTGAGCCACAGAAATTTACTTAATAATCCAATGGTCCCAAAAACCATCACCAAAAATATTAATAATGCTTTGTATTATTATTGTTCTATAAGAATAACATAATAGTGAAGAGTTAAAAGATAAACAATAAATGACTGTACTGTAAAGTGTTTTAGTAATATAAAACTATGCACCTGGAAAATAAGTAACTACAGCTATGGACATTTTTACAGTAATGGATATTTGAAAATAGCAACAACATCAAAGATGTGCAAAATGACAGTAGCATGTTATTTAACTGACTAAAATAGAAAATGTGCAAAGTCAGCATCAATGTAACAACTTATTGAGGTTGTTGGGAACAGTGGTGGTTATAGAGTCTTCCAGCTGCTAGGAGGAAGGATCTGTGATAATGCTCCTTGGTGCATTTAGGGATATTTTCTGAGTGTTCTTTTGTCTTTATAGAATAAAAGTAGCTGTACAGAATTAGTACTTTTTATCTTCATCACACAACAATGCCACTCTATACAGACTATCATTGTTTTACCCACAAGTTAACTGATTCTGCTTCGTATTAATTTCAGATTTGGAAGAAAACCAATAATGTTTGCCACCATAGCACTACAAGTGGTGATCACACTGATCCAGATTTTCTCTTCAAGCTGGATCATGTTTGTTGCCTTATATTTTCTTCTTGGACTGGTGCAAATTTCCAACTATCTGGTTGCATTTGTTCTAGGTACAGTATGTCTTTTCTATTATTTCCAACCTCCATCATCCCAAAATATACATAAATGTAACATGAATTTTACATTTCATATTCAGGATCAGAACTTTTAGGCCCAATGGTCCGAACATTATTTTCCACTGCAGGGGTGTGTTTGTTCTTTGCTTTGGGCTATATGCTTCTACCCCTGCTGGCATTCTTCTTGAGAGACTGGAGGTTGCTTCAGGTCACCTTCATGTTGGCAGGTTGCGTTTGTCTCCCTCTTTTCTGGTAGGTAAATTTGTTTGTCTGAATGTTTTTGTAGGTTGAAAATGTTGTTTGGAGGCTGTAGCTAAGAGGTCTATTAATCAGTTAATGAGTTCGTTTGTAAAAAATATATAAATGTATATTTGTATGTATATTTTTTACTTCTTTATAAAACTTGCCACAACAGCAGCTTGACCCAAAATACTAATACAAAAGTTAGGCCTGCATTTATTTCATAAAGCACAACTTTACTTCACGTGGCGCCTATAAAAGAACATTAGCTACATTTACATGCACAATATTTCCCCAGTCTGATCTAAGCCTTGGTTTATAAGAACATTCTACAGGTACAATCCCTCCCTAAAAGGGCGTTGACGCTCCTCAGGAGGAAGACGGGCCCTTGAAATATAGAGATCTTTCCAGATTTTCATTTATGAAATATGCAGATTTGTCTTTCCATACCTGCTCCAGTCACATTTGATCCCTTTTATTTTACCTGTGTGATTTCTACCAGTGTGATACAGTATGTTTAGATTGCACCACAAAATGTTCTGGTCAAAATCTTTATTCAAAACACATTCAAAACATCTGAAACTCTTAACAATCATCTAGCAAAGACAGGGAACAAAACCATTGACAGAAACTGTTCCATCAGAGTGCTTACAAGTTACTGCTTACATTAGTGCTTACATGACTGCCTTCTCAGGCTTTTGCAGGTGAGTGCGATCTAAAGTGAAGCTGTTCATATGGCTTGAGGCGGCTTCTTCAGATGAGAGCCGCTGTACCCTTCATTTTAAAGTGAAAGGCTGCTGCCTGACTGTGTATGGAGGGGAAGATTCAGGTTCTGTGTTTTCCTGTCTCCAACTGCCACTTGTTTATTGTTAACTAAAAATCTCAGTTTCCATGGACACAAAATAAAACAGCCACATAAGCAGTGAGGCAGATCAAACATGATCGCATACTGTGATTATAATACTTTTATATCATTGCTGATATCTGCGCTCTCTCTATATATATATATTTGTCTGGTTAATTTTTTGTTTGGTCAGGCAAAGATGAGCATTTGGCTCAGCAGGAGAAATAAAATGAAGGAGAAAGGTTCTGTAGGGCTGGTAGCTGCACATCTTAGGACAGAGTTAGCCTATTATAAGATGGTGTCAGACTTGAAAAAGTTAATTTGTAAATGGGGAGGTAGAGATATTTTATGTTGTGTAAGTGATGAATTGCTTACTCTCAGTTTTTGAGGGTTTTAATTTTTTGGGGGGGGGGTTTCAGACTGTTAGGATGAGTGTATGTATATGATTCACTTGTGAGTTTGTATTATAATGAAATATTGGACCAATAAAAGGAGTTCATGGTCTCTCTCTCTCTCTTTCTCTCTCTCTCTCTCTCTCTCTCTTTTTCTCTCTCGCTCTTTCTCTCTCACGCATTGTTTCAAAATGAGACAGGTTCATTTCAGAGTCTCCTCGATGGTTGCTTTCCCAGGGCAAAGTAGAGGAAGCTGAGGCCATAATCAGAAACGCTGCCAAAGTAAACAAGATTGAACCTCCAGCTCTCATCTTTAGCCCACTAATGGTAAGAGCACAAAGGTATTACCAACCATTAGCTGTCTAATAAAATATTAGATACAATAACCAAAGTAAACCAAAAAAAATAAAAATTACTTTAGACCCTTCATAGTCTTGTTATATGAATCAAATTCCCTGTCCTACAGCTGTAATATTTGGATACTGTAACACTTGCTATACATCTTTGTATATGTACTCCATCCCAAGTGAATGTTTCTTCTAGTTACAGGTGTTTACCACAGTATGATAGGGGTGCCTTTATCAGCTGGGGCCAGAGGTTGTAAAGACTTGCTCTAAAAAGAAAGGTTTAGCTAAACCAGGTTATTCTTAGACATTAATCTCTTACAGACTGTTAAAAAGTAACAGCCCTTAATGTACTGCCAAAGATACAGATTTGGGTTGGATCAAAGCCTTATTTGTGTGTGAGAATGGCCCAGTCAAAGCACGCACTAAGACCAGTCGACAATCTGTTGTACTTACCTATTTTATTGTTGGAACATTCTCCACCTAATATGACTCAGCCTCATAATAATTAAAGAATATGTGAAAATTACAGTCTGTAGTTAAAGAATGCCCCCCAACCTAGAATGCAGCACTTTTCTCCTTCTGAGAAACATTGCAAGACCTTCATTAGGGTTACAAAGATCCTGTTCTACATACAGCACCACTATTATCAGTTTAAAGGACGCAAAGGCCTCAAACTATAAATGTAGATTTTAAAAATATGTAATTTTTTCTTCCGGGCAACTTCCTGCTACCATCTAATAAGAGACAAATCTATACTCATTGCAGATGTGCAGTGTGTGCAGGTGGCAACATAGTGGCTTAGCCCTCAAATTAATTATTTAATTTAAGTTCTACTTAAGAAGTGTGTTTTGTTCCTAACGCTCTGCTTTCCCACAGGATGGAAGCAAGAATGAAAAAAAAAAGGCCCACAACATCTGTGACCTTCTTCGTTTTCCAAACATCCGATGGCTCTCTGTCACAATGTGGCTCATCTGGTAAGTCTGCTGATGTTTCTTAGCAGCTATGCACACAAACCCACTGGTTTCTTTGATCACTAAATATAATAATTTTGATCAATAAAATAATAAATAGTATACTATAATGGCCTTAAACAAAAACAAATAAAAAAACTTTCATGTCTTACTGTTACAAACTCATTAAAATGAATACAAATGCATAGGTACCAGTATAGGAGTCAACATCTGTAAAGTAATCTTAACTGAATTTTAGAAAATGAGAAATCTTTGCCTCTCTCAGTAGCTCAACTTGATCAAAAAATGAAAGAATTGCACTCGACTGAGGAGCAGATTCAAAAGAAGAGGCAGCTGGCCAATTATTTATAACTCTAGGGCACTTAAAAATGGAACTGTTCTTAGAGACGTTTAGTAGATGTGTGAATAATACTTACTCCAACTGCTGTATTCTACTTTAAATACGGACTGATTTTATTTTTGTAAATACAGATCAAGCATAATTTTATACCCATTCTACTACAGTTTTCTGTTTTTTTTGCTTAACCAATGTACAGTAAGGGCAGTGCCTTTAATGGCAAGGACTCTTGACACCACACACTTAAAAAGAAAGACAGATGTTCAGTTCTCATTTCTCCCATTACTGTGGTTCTGGTGTAAAGTAATACAAACTCCATACAGCTGTCTATGTTTGAGTCACTCTTTAGATTGCAACTTTGAAAATGATTACAGAAGCGACTTCCAAGACCAATCTGCATATCCTGACTTAGCATGTCAGATCCATCCATCCATCCATCCATCCATCCATCCATCCATCCATCCATCCATCCATCCATCCATCCATCCATCCATCCATCCATCCATCCATCCAT